ACCTTTCTCATCTCCTGTAACATGATACCGCAGGGCCTTCTGATAATGGGCAACTCCCAGCACATGTCAAGCCATGGAAGCACTGTTTCCTAATATTATTTTTTTAGCACAATTGATGTCTGTGGTTTGGAGGTCTGAGAGGCACTTATGTAATTTCTGACTTGGAAAATCATTTAAGTTTTCAAATAATTTCAGCTAAGATTTGTGTTGGAACTCAGAATGAACACAGATAGCCAAGAAATTTTTTTCTGATTTTTTTTTTTTCGGGATGGCAAAGAGTCAGAGCTAGTGTTGATGGAGAAAGAAAAAGGTCTTACCTCAAGGGGAATGGGAAAGAGTTTATTCTGGAGTCAAACAAGAGTTGCCATGTCCCAGAAGAAAGATTTAAGATACTGCAAGCACTGTGTTCCAACATTGTAACACTTGAATGAAATTTTCATAGTAAAGGAATCAATAAAGTTAGTCGGGCATTGGTGGCACATGCCTTTAATCCAAGCTCTCAGGAGGCAGAGGCAGGCAGATCTCTGTGAGTTCAAGGCCAGCCTGGTCTACAAGAGCTAGTTTCAGGACAGGCTACAAAGTTACAGAGAAACCCTGTCTTGTAAAATAACATCAAAAAGTCATGAATTAAGATACTTTCCGAATATATTGTTGCAAATAACAAGTATGCAGGTTTCAGGAAATGTGAAAAACTATTAGAGGACTCAGTGATAACACTCTTAGCTGTTTATTTGGGAGAAGGTGATAGTTTGCTAACGATTCACTTTGAAGCTTTTGGCAGTAATAATAATTCAAGCGTGGGTCTACTATGCACATTGCTCTAGGTGCTATCCCCAGCATGGAACAAACTTAATATGGGTGCCCCATGATTGGATATCCAACATTGATGAAGTAGGGGTATGTAAATTGTTTGTCATGTAAGCATGGGAACCTCAGTTTGGTTTTCCACTGCCAAACTCTTATAGACTTTTGACTACAGTCCCACGCGTATGTCTGTGTGCATACACACATGTGTATGCATGCACCCACAGGCAAGTGTGCATTCAAAAATACAGGACAAGTTTAAGGGAACTGAGATTCCTCAGTGGTTAAGCACACTTGCTACTCTGACAGGGCACCAGTACCCACTTTGGGTAGCTCACAACTACCTGTAACTCCACCTCCAAGAGATGCGATGCCCTTTTCTGGTCTCTGTGGGCGTATACACACCCTTACACTCACTCTTAGGCACACACCCCCCCCCACACACACACAGAGAATTTTACAATAAAACTTGATTTAAAAAATTTTAAGGTAATTAGCCATACAATAATTTGCAGGTCAGCTTGGAACATATGAGTTCTTGTTATTTATGAATAAAAACAAATAAACAAATGATACAATATTCATGAAACTGGTATGCTCAGTTCCTTGCTAATTGTAGATAACCTTTGATGCTAAGAGTCTGTGTGTTTGCCTTCCAGACTCTGAGGCTGACTCCAGTGCACCTTTCATACACAGGGGGTTCCAGCATCTCTTGTTTTTCGTGTCTATTCGTGTGTGTGTGTGTGTGTGTGTGTGTGTGTGTGTGTACCCATGTGTGTGGAAGCTGGGTGATAAGGCAGGGTGCTTAAATGCTTTGTTGCATTATGTTAATTCCTCAGCAGTGCAATCAAATTCATGTCGTAATTAAAGCTGTCAGTTGGAAGGCAAGCCAATCGCTGCGAAAGCACAGCATAACAAATGAACTGAAATGATTCCGCGTGTAGCTATACAATGCTTCACCAGGCATGAAATTAAATAAGTAATTTGATGTTGACATCAGAAATTGAAATGATACCCACTGTTCCCTCATTCAGTCAGACCTGCATAAACAATGGCCAGAGCAAACATGCACAACAAAGCCCTTCTTTCCACCCGCTCCCCCAAGTAATGTACAATATATATGCAAAATGAGCATATCAGAGCTTGCTTAGACCTCAAGGATGTAATTTGCTTTGGTATACAATAAGATGATGTGCGTATGGGGGTGGGAAGCTCGGTTTGGAGTGATCCTTCTTCTGGGATAAAACATTTTCGGGAAGCAGGGTGAATGAGATCAACAAATCCCCTTATATCTCTGTCATTCATCCTAAAATGAGTTTGTTTCCTAGAGGCAGGACTCCAGGCTGGTAGAAACCTAACTTTTTTCTTTCTTTACCTGCTGTAATAAGAGCTGGGGGTGCAGAAAATATGTGACATTTTCACATGGTCAGTCACTGGTAAAAGGAGTCTCCATTACAACAGTGGGTGAATTGAACCCTCTCTCTCTCTGTCTCTCTCTGTCTCTCTGTCTCTCTCTCTCTCTCTCTGTCTCTCTCTCCCCCACCCCAACCCTCTTCTACCCCCTCTCGTTTGCTTATAGAATCAAGAACACAGGAAGGTTTTGTTTGTTACTCACATTTTTCCCCCTTAATTTAGACGTGTGTGTGTGTGCGCGCACACACACGTGTACGCATATTTCACAGGTATACTGGTGCCCAGGAAGACCAGAAGAGGGTATTGTACCCATTGGAGCTGGAGTTACAGGTGGTGTATGAGTCACCTGATGGTGGGTGCTGTGAAATGCCCCCCACAGCTCCAAGTGATTGAACACTTGGTTTACGGCTGGTGGTGATGTTGGAACCTTTAGGAGGCAAAGTCCTGCTGTAGTGGAAGAGAGTTATTAAGGGCAGGCCTTGGTGCTGTTTAGGTCCCTTGTACTTCCTGTCTTCTCTCAGCTTCATGACTGATAGTGCAATGTAATGAGCAACTTCTTTTTCCTTTGGCGGGGAATGGGTTCAAGACAAGCTTTCTCTGCGTAACAGCTCTGGCTGTACTGGAACTCTAGACCAGGCTATCCTCATACTCTTAGAGATCTGCCTGTCTCTGTCTCCTGAGTGCTGGGATTAATGATGTGTGCCACTGCTGTCCAGCCCATGAGAAGCAACTCTTGGCTCTGCCGCCATGCCTTCTTTGCTGTGATAAACTTTAGCCTCAAAGTTTATCTAGACTTGCCCTCCCTTCTTTAATTCGATTTTCTCTGATGATTCATCAAAGCATGAAAAAGAGCAACTCAGCTGGGCAGTGGTAGCTAATCCAAGTACTTGCAAGGTAGAGGCAGGCGGATCTCTGTGAGTTTGAGGCCAGCCTAGTCTACGGAGGGAGTTCCAGGACAGCAAAGTCTACATAACAAAACTCTGCCTCAAAATACAATAAATAAATAAGTTGAGTAACTCAAATACCTTCCCAGTACACAGCCAGCCGAAATCATGTCTGCTGTTAAGAAGTGTTGATGTTGCCTTCTGTATCAAATAATACACACACACACACACACACACACACACACACACTCTTTCAAACAATATTTTGGGTGCAAGACATGATATGGGGGTACATGTCTTCTTATGCCTGTTTAAAGAGTAGGAGATCGGATATGTAAATGGAACAGCTCAAGTTAGTGGGTTTTTTTTTTTTTTAATTCTGTGGGAGATTGGACCTCTTCATAGAGGTGATTGTCCCCCTAAGGCAAAGCTGCTGAGGCCACAATGGAAAGACTGACTTGTCATTGGGTTATTTTCATTTTGAACTTATTTTGTGTCTCCCTTGATTATAAAGGAGATGAAAAAAATTAAATAATTTGTTAAGACAGGTTCTCAAGAGAACATATACACCAAAAAGTTCCAGATTTGCTCTGTAGTTTCTTTGGTAGAGTACTTGCCTAGTGTGCATGAGAACCTGGGTTCCATCTCCAGCATTGTTTAAACCACGCTTGGTAGTGTACTCCTGTTGTCCCTGCATTCAGGCAATGGAAGCAGGAAGATCAATGGTGTCCTCAACTACAGGGAGTTGAAGGCCAGCCTAGACCACATGGAGACCTTGTCTAAAACCCCAGGTAGAGGACTGGGCAAATAGTTTAGTTGGTTGAATGGTTGCATTTGAGCACTAACATTACATAATTGAGTGTAGTGGTATTCTGTCCCCCAGTAATTGAGGGCAAGCCTAGACTACATGAGGGCTTGTCTTAAAAAAGCAGAGCAGGGTGTGGACTAGAGAGATGATTCATTGGTTAAGATCACTCGTTCCTCTTGTAGAGGATAGAAATTCAATCCCCAGCATTCACATCAGGAAGCTCACAGCTGCCTATAATTTCAGTTCTAGAGTATCCAATATCTTTTGGCCTCTTCAGAGTACCTGCACACACGTTGTACACATAAACTTATATAGGCATACCTATATACATATAGATCATAATAAGATATACAAGCAGCTTCCATGTTCATTCTTTGACTCCCCCCCCCCAAGTATATGATATCCTTAGTTTTGCTCAGAGTTATTGATTTTTAGTGGTTTAGTGTGTCAGAGCTGTGGCAGTCTGAATTGGTAATATTGAGACAAAAACTGCTTCCCTCTGACCATGGATTCTTTGCATTTTAGTCAACTAATTATGTTTACAAAATGTCTAATTTTTGTACAGTGCCAAGTGTGTACTAACCAAAGCCTTCAGGGAATAAACTGACAAGTAGGTCATATACCAAAAAGTCATCCAAACCCATTGGGCTTTTTATTTTCAAGTCAGTCTGGACTTTTCCCCTTTCCTGCCTCTCTGCGGCCGCAAAACCAAATAGCTTGAGACCCAGGCCTTGAATGTCAGGAAGTCAGGGAGGCAGGCTGCCACGTGCCTGTTTAGTCTCAGTGCAGGGCGAAATGCCATCATTAATTCATTACCCAGCTGCCTGTCAAATAAATTGGCAATTACGTCCACCGCAGAAGCTCAGAATCCAGTAAATAGCACGTTAGCATCTCTGGGTTGTTGAGAGATATAAAGGGGGAAATTAAGCAACACATTCTGTGTATCAGTAGCAGATGACAAGGGGCCTCACGCCCGTGCATGTGATGTCTGGATGAAAAGCTCACAAAGGGCTGGTAATGAGCTGTGTGGATGGGAGCATGTTAAAAATCGTTACTGACTTCCTCACTCTGTCTTTGTGCTTTCTTTGCAGAGTTCAGCTCCTTCCAGCTTGGGAACAGGCTACTTCGTAAGTTCATCTCCTCCTCCACCTGCGCGCCTCGTGTTGCCATCGGTCCCCTTCTGTAAAAAATCCTCATTACAGTGTGAACAAAACATGGTCAGGGGTTCCCTCTCATTCCTCATGAGCACACAGATTTCTGCCCTTTCATTGAGAGTTGTCTTATTTCTCAAAGGTTTATCCTGTTGGGCCCTAAGGATCAGGAGGCAATTGCCTAGCTGGGGTACTTAGCATGTTTGGCAAATTTGGGGAAACATGATTGCTCTTCCCAGCCCAATTCCATAATTAATGGAAATCAGGTTACATATGAAGGTACCTTCTTTGAAGCTGTCTTAAGAGCATCTATGTACACAGTGACTTGACTTGTATTTTTGTTCTTACATTTGTGGGTGTTTCCCTCACACTCTGGTTGGTATCCCCTATCTAGCTTATATGACAGCAGTTACCATACTTACAGTTTGCCCTTAGGGGAGAGGAGGGGATGGAGGAAACATATTTCTGGGATATCACACTATCTTTTATAGAAAATGGTTGCTTCATTAAATTTTTACAACAAAATTATCCTTTGTGGATTCAGTATTCCTTTTCAAGATATCAGTGAGGAAGAATTGGAAGCCAGCATTATTTACACAAGATAACATAGCAGTGTTACAGTTTTTTGCAGTATTTACAGGAACTTAATTGTGTTTGGAAGGGACGCTTGATCCTAGAAGACCCGAGACTGAACACATCCTATGAAACATGGTCACTAACTACTAATTCAGGGCAGCTACTTTTAACTTTGTCCTCTTAAGATGCTCACCCCTCTTCTGCTGACTCTTTTTTCTCAATGGATTTCTGTTAAATTTTGGAAATCAGCATTGTTTCCATGAATGTTGAGTCTTTCCTAAGTTTCACTAAAAAATACCCACCCACACAACTTAGTCTTAATCTGTCATCCAAGGCAAATGGTAAGGACGGCTCTGGACTCGCATCATACAGTTAGCTCAGTTAGCATCCAGGGCCTAAATATTCATGCTTACAGAAGGAGCAGGATGCTCTCAGCGTCTTGCTTCAGCAGTTGAAAGAACAGACGTGGTCCCATCTGCCATCTCTTCACACCAGTCTGGGTGTGGGTTGAGATGTTGGAAGTAAAATCTGGAAGCTGTTGTGCCTGTCCTCCATGCATGGGCTCTATTCTCACCCCACCTCCTTTTCAGAAATAAAGCCCATACCACTACCTTTGCCATGTTCACTTATAGCCCGAATAGTCTTTTGTTAATTTTTTTTAATTGGCATTATAACTGTCCTGAAAGAAGAATGTTGTCTAAAGAATGGACATTTGTTTTGTTTTTTACTTCCTTAGTTCTATGAATACTTAGCTTTATTTTCTAATGATAATCTGATAACTAACAAATCCTTAATTAGGATTTGAGATTTTTTTTTAATGCTGAAACAACTTTGCTTAACTTTAAAACTTCTTCATTTTGCTAAAATTGCTTTGGTAAAATCAACTTACTCTGCTTATCTCAAGAACTGTCGTGTTATTAGCGTACATGGAGAAGATGAGTACCAGATGTCTGTTTCGCTCTCAGCTATGATAAAAATCCCCCTCCCAGAATGTGTTTCCAATACTGCATTGTTCTGTTATCACCCTGCAAAATCCTTGGTGGAGTTGCCAGGCCCGCATCAAACCCTGGCTCTGTTTCAAGTGTCATTCCAACAGTATCACATGTAATACTCAATACCAGGGACTAAGGTCCATGTTGGTGAGTTTCATGCTTTTAAATAATGTATCTGCAACTTCTGTACTTGCTCTCTCCCCCAAACATACTGTTCCCTTGTTCTTAGTGGTCTGTGTATCAGAATGGCTCTCACTCAGTACAGAAGACTCAGGCTCCGTATTAGGTTGAGTCCCATACTAATTTTTTCCTTTCTCATTAATCTGCTTCAACAACTTTTTGATATGTGGATGGGGGAAATCACTACAGATGAACTAATTCTTTTCATTAAACCATAAATTGTTGGGTTTGGAAAGGCCAAAGTCCTTCACCTTTGGGGCTTACCAGATCAGAAGTGCTTGTTTAAACACTTTCCCATGGCTCAAGTATCCTCCTCACTCTAGAAACTAGTTATCTCCCATTTACTGTAGTACAGATTTTAGTAAACAAAGGTGAAAAACCTTTGGTTTTGTTTGTTCATAATCCATGCATCATGAAGTCTGTATTTGTGTGCATGTGGTGTGTGTGTGTATGTGTGTGTGTGTGTGTGTGTGTGTGTGTGTGTGTGTCTGTGTGTGTGTTTGTATCTGTACCTGCGCTTGCTCACTCTTGGACCAGTCCAGCTCATTGTACTCGTCTCTCAGTTCTTTGACTGTGTCTGTTCTGTTCTGCTGAAGGCTTTTAAAGAAGTCTTTGTTTTTGATCTGGTTTTATTTGTTTATGTCTCCCTGGTTTTGTGTTCCAAAGATGTCTTCTTAGGTCTGTCAGTTTTCCAGTCTATGCAAAAGCAGAAGATTTTGGAGATGGGAACAGCAGTGAAGAGCACTATTTACATAAGCATATTGCAAAGAATTCTTAAAGTAGACAAAATAGAGAAGGTTTGGAACAAACTTTGCACGTTTCGGGGAGGCTTTGAATACTGTGAGTGTTATACACACACATACACTCACACACACTCTGTCTCTCTCTCTCATTGCATACGCATCCACTGCTCAGCTCATATTCTAAATATAAATGAAATTATAGGCAACTTGGAATCAATTTGCTGGGTTTTTCTTTCCTTTTTGGCAAGCAATCTGAAACTTGTTGGAGTATGTGTAGGGTTTTCTTTTTTTTTTTGTTTTTGATTTTTTTAAACGTCAACTCAGTGAATACATTTTCTGTTTGATTTAAACATTTCTGGATATCTTTCCGTCTGAAACATATAGTTGAAATTTTACTCTGAGTAACATGTAATGAAGTACCTTGTAGCAGAATGACTTGTGCGACTGGTTGTGTGACCTTTGGCAGGGCAGTTGATGTCTTTGTTTCTGCCTCACCACCCACCTAATAGAGTTGTGAGTCTTAAACAAAATGACATAATTAACATACACTGAACAGAGCTCATGAACATCATGTGCTAGGTTTTTTTTCCCCTATAAATTTTTTAAATTGTTTTTAAAATTTTTTATTGTTGATTATGTGCACAGTAGTGCTGGTTCCGTAGAGCCCAGAAGAGGGAGTCAGATGTCCTGGAGCTTGAATTACAGGTGGTGTGAACTCCTGATATAGGTTTTAGAAACTGAGCTTGTATCCTCTGCACAGGAAGTATGCACTTTGAAACCACTGAGGGCCTCTAAGTGTCTCTGTTCTTCACACAGCTCATGAGTAGATAAACTTTATGTCAAACTATGCAATATTGTATTGGCAGAGGGCACCACTAAAAATTAATAACATGAAAGTATATTTTGCCATTTGCGTCCATGTTATAGAATCAGTAATTTTCCTTCCTGGAGCTTTCACGTGGGCGTGGGATTCTGTTTTTGCTTGGCTGTATCTCACTCTGTGTGAACTTCAGGCACAGATGCTTTTCTTTGTCATCCTGGTGATGATGACATTGGAATGACCTCTTCTCTGTGTTGCCTGTTTTTGTTTTTTTTTTTTCCATTGAGAGATTTAAAGCTCATCATGAACATTTCACATGCCTATGTTTTGGGCTTGGCAGTTAAGGAAGGTTTATTCAGTAATTACACTCATAAGAAATTGGTTACAGGGTGTGTTACCTACCCTGTGACACCAAAAAAAAGTGGTTGGGAGGAGTGACCAGAGTTGGGAGAAAGACAACACTCCATCAGATTGGTCTGTCATCGAATCTGGAATTCACTGATTGGTTAGGCTGGCTGGCTGCTAAGTTCCCAGGGATCCTCCTGTCTCTGCTTTCCCATCAAGGCTGGTTTTTCTTTATGGGTGATGGATCTGAACTCAGGGCCTCATGTTTCATCTTTCCAGTCCCTGAAGTGGTATAAGTTGGAGCCCTGTAATCACGTCTGTAATTAGGTGATTGACTTCTTTGGCTGAGCCCATATGCTCTCGTGAAAGGGACTCTTAGACCAGGGTGAACCATCCTGCCTGCTCCCCTGAGAGCCTCCTTCCAGTTACTTCTTTTAAAATTCAAGCTTGCTAGTTGTCACACTTTAATTTCTCTAGGAAACCAGTGTGCTGATAGCCTATGATTCACACTGTAGGAAAGGGGGTTTGAATACATTATACTTCCTAAGATGGGGTGTGTGTGTAATTACTGTTGTTCTTCACATTACTTAACTTTCAGGAATTTTTTCTGTGATCAGGTACAAAGTGCAACATGGTGTCCTGTGCCTTTCTTCCAAAGGGAAAGTTCTTTGTCTCCTTCTTAGGTTTTTAACTACAAACCCTTGAAAACTCTCATGACCATTTATTATAATTTGTGTATTTTTTTGTAATTTAAAATATTTTCATTAGAAATGTATTATTGAATATATTTATATTTTTGATTGTTATTTTAATTGTTTTACTAAAATCATTTCGTTCCACCCTTCAAACCCTTCCATATTTCACCCCTACCACTCCCTCTTAAAATCATGTCCCCTTTTTGTTTAATTATTATTGTGTTTTTATTTATAAACAAGCAAATCAATCCATTTAGTTTTGCTCTCATATAACACACCACACACACACACACACACACACACACATACACACACACATATTTTAGATCTGTTCACTTGGTTTTGGGTTTCAAAGTAAGGAGTTATCCCTGGAGAAGATTTTAATTCTCATTCTCTTTCCCCCTCTCTGCCCTCAGCAACTTTTAATTGTTTGTAGGTATTCATTTATAGGTGTGGATCACATCCCCATCCCAGGTGACCATATATTTTTTTTTTTTTGAATTTTCGAGACAGGGTTTCTCTGTGGCTTTGGAGCCTGTCCTGGAACTCATGCTGTAGACCAGGCTGGTCTTGAACTCACAGAGATCCTGCCTGCCTCTGCCTCCCTAGTGCTGGGATTAAAGGC